GGTGAAGCAGTTTGACAGCATTACTCCTGCAACCACCAGATCAGAAGCAACTTAATCAGTAGGTCATTTTGTTATATAAATGGCAGATGGCATGTAATTAAAGGGTTAAGTTGTGTATGCTCTGAATATTTTGGTAAACTTATATTACAATATGTATATTATCGTATTTTCTTAATATAAGTTCAAATATTTTGCTATTATTTGTTAAGAGTTGTGTTTTAAAGTCAATGTAGTATCTCTGACTCATATCCGGGTCGGGTACGGGTTGGGGGTGTTACACTCTGCCATTTAGTTTATGGGATGCCTGGATATTTTGCAAATCACTTACTGAATTTGAGTGATTTCCTCCATTACTCGAGACTTCTGAGGTAGGCTCAGTGTTGTTGGTTTCAATACATCTGACCATGTCCTTTTTGAACAAATTCTATTGGTTCGAAGGAACTTGGGAGAGAAACGACTACCAACAAAACCAAGTGAAAAAATCTCCCAAAATCTAGCTAAAAAACTCTGATACCATGTCAAAAAGTGACCTAATTCGATTGATTGATTCATAGAAATTTTACACTGGTTCTTATAGACCTAATAGACCTAAGTTAGGAAACTCTAAACAAGGAAATAAACTGATTCTAGGAATATTTGACTTAGAATAAATCCCTCAAAGTTAGAGATTACAATCACTACCATATTTACAGAATATCGTAGTTAATACAACCAATATTCCTTATTTAGGAAACTAGAATCTAACAACAGCGATTGGATGACATAACCTATTTGTTTGTTTAGTTTAAAAGTATGATTCACAACATGAAAAACAATAAATCTATAGTCACCAAAGTTGATCACGGTTTCTCCTCAATACTGCTATAGTATCAATTAAATTAGGTCCAAAACATAATCATCTTACCATTCTTTGATGATAAGAAGTTCTTAATTTTTGACTCATTTAAATAAAGTTATGTTTTGTGCCCTTAGAAAATAAAAACAAAATCCTCCAACTTCCAAAATGTGTAACTCTTGCTATAGCCTATAGGCTTTTCACTAGCAGCTGTGTTCTGCCACAATGCATCCATTACTCTCTAATTATGATAAACTAGGTCGAATACTGTGAAATGTTAATTATGTAAATAATTTACCCCTTTATCTTTGAATTGTCCACCATTATATGCCTATATACCCAAGAAATGGCTATAACACTATCCTAACAAAAATTCTCAAATAAACACTATGGATTTGTTTGGCTGGGTGGAAAAGTGGAAGGATGGAGTGGAAAAGTGGAAAGAAAATAAATCTTGAATGTGCTTGATATGAAAGAAAATGAGAGGGACAATCATTTTCCTAAAAATAAATCATTCCAATTTGGCAAGAAAATATGATAGAAAATGGGATAGGGATATGAGTGAGTTCAAAATATGTATTTTTCAAAGCTTAATTTTCTTTCCTCTCATCTTTCAATTCTACCAAGCAATGAAGGAAAGAAAATTATATTTTCATTCAATTTTACCATCATTTCTGCCAAGCACACCAATGGAAAGAAAAAAATATTTTTAAATCTTTCAAATTTTCTACCCTTCAATTTTCAATCATTCCAATTTTCTTTCCACCCTACTAAGAAAAGCCTATGAAAATCATACAACTTCACTTACATATCTGATCAGGTTCTCCTTGTAAAACTCAAAACTGAAAAAGAAAACAATCGCTCTTTGGACTATTAGACCACCGAATCTTACTATTATTCTACTTCTAACTTCACAATTGCACCTGCACATGCACATCCTGTTCCAGTCTTGCCTCGAGCCAAAATCATACATTTGGTTAAACTTCTTCCCTATTTTCAAACTCGACAACAAAAATATATGTTCAACTCATCCACAAGTTTAGCCAAAAATATCAATAAGACTTCTACAAGAAAAAACTGAGAGGAATTTTCCAGATCAATAAAGCTACAAGAAATTCCTCAAATAAAGAATTAGTTCAATACATTCCAAATAATTAGAAAGAGGAAATCACATCAAAGTTCAAACAGCAGAATAGAAACCTTAACATATGCAAAACAAAAATCTTCTCTTTCTGATTCCAATCAGTAAACAATCATAAATAAACTTTTCCTCAAATTCTTTGCATCATCAAATCTATAAACCCAACATCAAAAGTAAAAACAATAAGTTGACATCAATACAATGAAAATAAGAGGAAAGGGGGCTTACGTTAAGGACACGATTAATTCCTTGAGTCTTGAGAAGCTCAGAGTGAGAGGCGTTATCATAGCTACCCAAATAGAGAAAGCCAGGCAAGATCACCGATGGGAAAGTGTTGAGTTGAAGCGATGTTCTGTCAGAAGAAAACGGGTGGTCGGTGTGCACAAATCCCACAAACTTTGCCTTCCTCGTACTTGTGATAGTGGCCACATACCGTTTATGGGTCCCAAGCATGTTGTTTTAATTTAAGTGTTTTTGATTTTGCATGTTTTTATTAGAAGACGCAGCTTGCATGTTGCCTTTGACGATAATAATGTAATAAATGTTTGTTCTACATTTGTCCCCTGCCCAATCGATTCTACCTGAATTCTCAGGTTAAGTTCTGTTCTTCCAATGTCAGTCGAAGAATCTCAAAATCAACTCATCTCATACAAACGTGCGTGACAGTGATATGTTGCCAACTTGATTTCAATCCATATAAATATTATAAAAATGGTAAATTACATATTTAGTTACAAAACTATTACTTTGGTTTTATTTTATTCATTAAATTATTTTTTTCAAAACCATCAGTAATTTTACATTTTAATCACTCACCGACCGTCTTTAAAAAAATAAAATTGTTAATGTGACATATTTTATTTTTTTCAATCATGACATTACATTATCTTATGATAAAACGTTAGCATCACCATTAATAGTTTTCTACAAAATAAGTTTAATATTTTGCTGTGGAAATGTCATTAGTAACTCGTGACACCATATGATTGGGAGATAAATTTATTGAAATAATGCAAAATTATGATCAAAATGATAGAATGGGTAAGTAATGAAGACTAATTGTGTAATTATACCAATTTTGTTAACATCCACATCACTTCCTCGGTGAAATGTTAATGATAGATGTCTTGATTGACAACAATTATATAATTAGATGGTATGATTGATAAAATTGAAAGATTGGTGGTCAAAATGAAAAGAGCAATAATTAAGTGGCCATTGGTATGATTTACCAAGAACTCGTATAATACTAATAAATTGATTTCATTACTTCTTCATTCAATCATTTCAATCCTAAATCAAATTAGTTTACTTTTATCAATTTGGTCCACACCTTGTTTCTTCATTCACTCATCTTCCTCATGTTAAGATCAGATCCCATTTTGACTTAAAAAATATAAATCATATTAATGTTTTTCTTTCGAAATTTGGCTCATTTCGGTGGGGCTTTCTGGGCCTCTATCTATGTCCTGTATTTCTCTTTGTTTGATTTCTTCAACAGAGCTTTTTCACAATGAACCAGTTCTGTAACCGATTGAAAGGGCTGCCAAGCTATTCTCCGAGGCTGCTGTTGTGAATAAGCTCATAGATGTGATTTACAATAGAGTTGGGTACACGGATTGACTGAGAGATGGTCGGTCGCTCCTCTAGAATTTTATTGATAATATGTTTTTGTCACTTAAAGTTGTATAAAATCAGGGGCGGACCTCCATGGTGCCCGGGGTATCTCGGGCAATCCCCTCATCCAGGGGCGGACCTCCATGGTGCCAGGGGTATCCAAACAACCCCTCCACAAGTGTCACCCCTAATACAAGTGTCACCCCTCAAAAAGTGCCACCCCTAGGGCTCTTGCAATCCCTGAATTTTTGTCCTGTGTCCGTCTCTATATAAAATTGTGGCCTCTAAAATTTTAAAAGTTAACCACTGACATAAAATTTTGTATCCATTAGTGGTTACGTATACATTTGTCTCCGGATTGAATCCAAAAACATATCACGATTCATGTCCTTTAAAAGACACAGGGTTTGCCATTGTTAAGTCTGCTTTGGAAGCCATGGACTTTGAGTTGCATTCTGGAACTCATCCTAGCCTCGGAGTTGTTGATCATATATGTTTTCACCTCTTGGCACATACTTTCTTGGAGCAGGCAGCTTTGATTACAAAATCTTTAACAACAGATATCTTAAAATAACTCTAAGTTATTTAAAAAATATGTATTCCAACATGGTTTGATCGGAAGCTAGCCGACATTACCCAACAACATCATTTGTCCTTTGAGTCTTTTCTCGACACTCGTATCTCATTTGCACACTTATGCAAATCCATTACCCCTTATGATTATTATTACAACATGTTTTAAGTGGTTTTCTTCTTTCCGGATAATATGCAATATTAGACTTTAAATTGACAATAATCAGTCTTTTTTTACGATATAAATCGCCACCTGAAATAATAATAATAAGAAGAAGAAGAAATGTTGGGATTCAACGTTTGATTGAATCTTGGTGATGGGACATTATTATTATCCATTTAAAAGGGTTTCATTATCCATTTGATTGAATCTTGATTGAAATAATAATAAAAATAAATCATCGGATAAATAAATCAAATTACTCTGATCGAATTTATTTATACGCACACCTACATATGAACATAGTATTTCCTCTATCTCATTAAAATTGTCGTTTATTTTTTTTTAAATTGCCATTTGGGGGCATTTTATAATAATTATTTTAGACAATTAAATTGTATAGAATATATATTTATTTTTTTGAATATTTTAAATAATTTTTTTTATTTTTATTAATAATAAATTATAAATAAAAAATTAATAAAAGAAAATTTGGATGTAAACAGATATTCTTCATCGTTTTTTATTTGAAATTCTATTAATTTAAGTGACATTTTCTGAACATTGATTTGTAATTTCAGGAAAGAAAAGGCTTAGAAATCATGGAAAACAGAGTGAATAAATAAAGGAAACAATAGTTTATTTCATAAGGTCGAAAACCAAATTTAGGATGGACTACTTACATCTGTTTCCTGTATTTGTTTGATTACATTAAGATTGCATAACGCATGCTGTCTCTGACCATAAAATGATTCATCTCCGATATCTGAGCAAACTCAGTCGACACCCAAACTCCATCAACTCCATTAACACGTGGTTGCGAGAAGCAAGAAGAAACTAAAGAAAGACCATTCCCGTATCCACCTGAGCCTGTCCCGTTTATACTGATCGGCATCTCGCCGCCGGCACCTCCATTAACACCGTCGAAGTTGTTACTCCTTCCCCCTCCGTACATGTTTTCATCGGCCACTCGGGGACTCTTCTTCATGTTCCGCAGATTCCGTCGCAAAACCACGATTATACGCCACATTTTCTTTTCCTTTTTCTCTTCTGGGGATTGGTAATAAGAGAGGCTCGGTTAATTTAAGGAACTAATGGAAGACCAGCTTTTTGGAAATGAGATATTGATAATGGCTAAGTTAGTGGTGGTGGTGTTAGTGCTGGTGTTTATCACTAATTTTTCTATAAGCGTGGCCTGTGGGGTCTGGTTTAAGGCCGACACCGCTGCCTGCGTTGTATGTAAAGCTTTCCATTCAGAAATTCTTCTTTTTTATAATAATAAATTATTCTTTTTCGAATTGATGACAAAGGCAATGAAATTGCTCTTCCTTTACAGTTCGATGGAGTACGTACGAATTCATTGAATAGAAAAGAGAAATCCCAAATGCATGCTTAGAGACAAAAAGTTCAGTCCCAGAAGATCTTTTATTCAATTGGTGTTGAGTTTGAGTTGATGTCCCAATTATTGCCTAATTTTATCGTATCATAACAATCATTAGAAGTTTGGATTCAATTCCCTAGTTTTTTCCCTTAGTTGTTATCATCTATTACAAGTAAATACATTATGTATGAGGGTATGTCTCTTCTTATATTATATGAACTATCGTTATAGGATGTATGGAACCATGTTTTTCGAATGGTTTAACACGATTCATTTTAATTACACATCTTAATTACAGTATCAGTGATGTCATTTTGAACTCTACTGGTCAATCTAAACTCAACTTCTCAATCTTCATGTATGTGCCTATCGACCATATCCACAAGAGCATGCCTTATAAAGTGTTGAAGATTTTATTAACTATTTTTATTATCTAGGTATTGTTAATCTCTATTTCAAATTTTCATATATTAAATCTTATTAAGATATGGGCTCAAACATATTCTCGTGAAGAGAAATTTAAATAGTTTATGTATTATAATATACTCCTATATTTAATAGTAAAAAAATATAACAATGGCATTAATGATAATAATGTACGGTTAATTAGAAAGAATAATTTTAGAAGGAAAAGAGGAGAGAATGTTCGAGATTGATTTTAGTTAATTATTATACCATAAATTTAATTGATTAAAATTTTAATTTTTTATTTATTAATTTGGATATGTTCAAAGAACACTCTCAACCATTTGACTTGGAACGCTCATACTTTTAACTTTTTTGGTGCTCGAACTTTAAACCTCAAGAAATAATAATAATAATTCATTTACTATTGAAATTACTTGGTTCGTGTAAAAAAATAGTTTTATACGTAGAAAAAACTCTTTTTATTTATGATTACCCAATTTTAGACTTTGAGTATGAGAATTAATTTCATGTATTTATATCCCTTGATGGAGACCCATCGTCCTTGGTTCCACTCATAGTGTTATTTCTCTTTATTTTCATTTTATCAGCAACTTGCATATGCAATTATGCATGGTTGAATTATAATATGCATGGCTGTACCAAGAAAGAACCAAAAAGATAAATTATAATAATAAAAGCCAAAATCAGTCCAAAAAGCATAAAACGATGTATGAATTTGGTTATGAAAGCAAAATGGTCTATTGAATTGTGCTTTTCATGTGTATGAACCTAATTCAAACGATGAATTTGGTTATGAAAGCAAAATGGTCTATTGAATTGTGCTTTTCATGTGTATGAACCTAATTCAACCCCTAATAATGAAATAGTAGATATATCAATCAGTATACAATATATATTTATAAAATATTAGTAAAATAATTTTTTATAAATATTAAAATTTGAATTTATGCAATTAAAAATAAATATAAAAAATACTACATGAGCTAACTTGATATATGATTAGGTTAGACGTCATTTAATCATAAATATATGCTTGTTGTCCTTTTCATGGCATGCATCATGTGGTATTTAGCCCACAGTTTACTAGTTAAGAAGCAAATGTTCAGGATTCAACGTAATTTGATGATTTTATATAGCTTGCAAGTGTATTTTATTTGTTTTTGCTTTTAGTTGTTGGGAATATATAATATGAGAAAGTGATTGAACAAAAAGCAGCTTGATTTCTTTTTATTTATAATTTTAAGATTAATTAATATTGCATATTAACATCAACTTTGATTTTAAAAGAATTAAATCAACTCAATAATTAACCAGATAAATTTTAAACTTATGACATCTAACTTTTAAGTTACAATAATTTTTTTATAAATTTATATAACTTTTAATTAAATATGAAAATATTTTAAATTAAAAATCACATTAATTTAAATTACCGCACAACAATCACGTTTAATGTTTCCAAGTTAATTGACGAAGCCCCTAATCATTAAGGACAAGGGAAGAGCCAGTTTTTGTCTCTTGTAGTAGTTTCAACAATTGACAGAGATTTTGTGAGAATTGATAGAAGGTGAATTTTATTGGAGATTTGCAATTGCATCCATGGTTTTCAGAACCGGATCGGTTAGCGAACCGATCATATGGTTCACTGGTTTAATCGGTCAAACCGGTTCGACCGGTCGGAAGAACCGGACGACGTCATAATTATTTAAAAAATTAAATAAAAATACCAAAAATATTTAATAAAAAATAATTTGTTATATCACAAGTCATATTCAAAGCAAGTCATAACATATATAAATTAAAAACCATAAAATCAAGTGAAACAAAATGATTCAAATTAACTACAACATAATATTTAAGGTAAAACATATTAAATAATATAATTATATAACTATAATTAAAAATAAATTAGGGCTAAAAAATCATAACAAAATGATATTGTTTGGTTTAATTTTTTTTTAAAAACAATCTCACATGGCTAAGAAACATAGAAGAGCATTCCAAAAGTCTAAAGAGTAAAAATATGAGAACAAAACAATCACAACTAACTTCTATAAATAATAGAGGTAATTTGGCATTCAAAATCATGGAGACTTTTGATGAGCATTGAGTGAACTATTCTTTCACTTCAATCAAGCTCGAATTTTAGGCTTCAATTGAGCTTCTAAATTTTTTTTAGTTCAAGCCTTTTTGAGTTCAAGTTTCAATATTATATTTTGAGTTCGAGTTGAACTTGATAATTTTTAACTTGTGAGTTTGAGTGGAGTTGAGCTTACTTTTAAAGTTTTCAAGTTCGAGTCGAGCTCAGCAATACTCGAGTTTGACTTGCCTCGTTTAACAAACGACGTTTGGTTTATTTTTTTTTTTAAAAAACAAAATTTCCGGTTTTTTTCGTTTTCAGCCGGTCCTGTTCGAACGATTCAGCGGTTCTGGTCGATTCACTAATAATGATTCAACCGATTTAGATTAAATCAGATTAGATAACGATTCCGATTGAACCGACCAGTCCAGTCCGATCCAATTTTCAAAACAATGCTTGCATCACAGCACATTAGTTTTTAATGTTGTGCCAGTGTCACTGACAATGACAACTAAACCCCTCATCTCTTCAATCATCTTGGGTTGTACATATATGTAGGGGTATAAAATTATCCAACCTTATTGATCCGATCCGCTGACTTGGACCTAAAAAAATCGGGTAATTCTCTAAAAAAAATTATTCGGCTGGGTTGGGCCCGGGTCACAAAATCTAGTTTTTCTGGGTACCCGGTTAGTTTTTTTTTTATATATATATAAAATATAATGAATTATTTATATTGTGGATTATTAGATTTTATATTTTGAACTTTTAAATTTTATGTTCGGATATTAGAGTATGTAATTTAAAGTTTCGAACATTTAAATTTGTGTATATTTTTTTAAAATTAATAATTTGAAAATGAAAAATAAAAAAACGGGTACCCGATTACCGGGTACCACCTGGTACCCGTAACATCCGGGTAGGGACACGGGCCGAGAAATCGCCGACTCGAAAGTTCCAGGTACCCAGATTTGCACACCCCTACATATACGTACTTACGTGTGTGTGTGTGTGTTATTGGAATTCATTTTTCCTAGAAAGTTTTATAAATGAAGAGTCTAAAATACATGTTAATAAAAGATCGAAAGACAATAAGAAATGATCATAATCGAAAGATTTATTAATAAAGTAATTTTTTAAGGTTAAATAAGATAATATTTTAAGTTGAATAAAAAATATTACATTCTCATAATTTTTTTGGTTGCAACTTAAAAACTTATCATCAAGATATTTCAATTGTAAACAAAATATTATAAGTCATATAACTTCTTAGATTGAACATGTAACACTTCAAGTTAAAAACCACCACAATGTAACATTTTTTGTAGTAACTAAAATTATTTCAATTTATATGACAATTTAAGTTGAACGAGATAACATTATAGGTTAAAAATTGTCGTAAATCAAGAAAGTTTAAAAGAAGATAAAACACACTTTCGTGAAATCCATTTTAATTTACTTTAAATATTTATTTGGCCCTAAAATACATTCGCTCAACTTGTATTTCGGGTGAAATGAAGATAAAAGAAGCACAAACTGAGTCATCTCAATGGTAAAACAATTGTTGTTATTCCTTAAGATTTCGGGCTTGAGCACTATGAATGTCAAGGGTGTGAGCGTTCAATGTCAAATGGTTGAAAGTTATTGCAACACCCTAATCTGATCCAAATATGGTTGAAATACTCGATTAATCAAATCTATAAATTCCACATGAGCATTAGTTAATCCAAACGACATTATCACAAATTCATAATGTCCATAATGAGTCCTAAAAGTCATTTTGGGGACATCTTCTTCTTTAACTTTTAATTGAAGACCAATCTTTAAAAACATAGTTGTGCCTTTTAACTGATAAAAAAATCATCAATCCTTGATAAATTATACTTATTCTTCATAGTTACCTTATTCAACTAACAATAGTCTATACATAATTGTATAGACTCATCTTTCTTTTTTCATAAATAATACCAAGTCCCCTATGATAACACACTTGGTCTTATAAAACCCCGACCTAATAATTCTTGTAAATGTGCTTTAACTCCCTAAGTTCAACAGGAGTTATTCTATACGAAACCATATATATTGGTGCAGTACCTAGTAATACTTCTATTATAAATTCTACCTCTTAATCTGGTGGTAGACCATGTAACTCATCCAAGATC